AGAGTCCGGTGAAAACTCGCAGTTACGATTTATCAACTTAGGAGGACATCATCGACGGGCCATTATTATGATCAGAAATTCCCTTTTTGTTGACGATTATATTAGAGATCTCATATGAAACCAAGACTTGCACGGGAAAATAGTTACTCCCTCTGTTCCCTCAAGTTTGATGTTTTGAGTTTTGCACATAAATTAAGAAATAATTTTTTATTTTTTTTTAATTAAAATAAATGATTATTTAAATAGAAGATAACGTGTTTTTTACTACCAATGCAACAAAAGTGGGAGTTTCACATTCCATCATTACCCACTTTTTCCATTTTAATTAATTTAAATAAAACAAATACATTAAATAAATTCTACAAAATCAAACTTTCAGGAACAAATAAAAAAGCCAAAACATCAAACTTGAAGGAACAGAGGGAGTATTTACTTAATACTGTAATATTAAATCACATATTCCATAGTGTCTGTAGAAGTAGCTTTGTTATTTACTTGATACTGTGATTTGCTGAGTACAGTTGTTTATTAACAAATCTACTTCTACACACTATGGAATATGTGAAATAAAATTTTAAACATCTACAAAAAAACACATGTATATGTTAAGTTCTATCAAAATAAATTAAATTGGTTACATAGAAAATACATTGATTATAACTTATCACGAGACTCTCACTAGGAGGTCCCCAAGCGAATCGACATGAGAGCATTTGACACCCCATCACGTATATAAGGATGCTAATCGCGTTGAATCTACTAGTCACTAATATTTTCCGAAAGACCAAAAAAATGTGCCAAACCCTACTTTAAGAACCAGTAACCCGATAGATAGACTCGAGAAAAATATAAACTATATAAATACTACTCTAAACTTAACATACCATGAGATATTAATCCGAGAAAAACATCTGAAAATAAGAGAGAGGAATACGGATAGCAAACTTGACCACCAGAAACACTAAAGCAAACGTTGAATTATTCCACCTGGGTTCCTCTCTCTTCAGGTTAGAACAACTGCATTCTGATTTGAGCTTGGAGGATATTCGCAAAACACTATATTAGTGTTTTAATATAATTTCGAGTGGTTTTTCTATCATAAAAATGTATATTTTTCATCGGTCGTTCTTTAATGATTTTCGGAAACAAGTTGCAGATACCTAAAATTCTGCAAGAACAACATCAATTATACGTTTAATATTTGTTTTGCATAGATAGAGACTACAGTATTCGAATGTTGGACCTAAAAAAAGAAGAGTATTGGAATCATTTAAAACGACTATGATAATATAATAATATTACTTTAATTATAATAAACAAATGTGCAAACCTCGACTCCACTAAAAAGACAAACAACGTTAAATCATATGCATAAGAAAAGAAATAAGAACATTAATGTGAAAAAGGACAGGAAGGGATCGAAAACTAAAGGCAAGTTGGTTCGACTATTACCATCTTCACGTGGAAGGGACGTGGAGCTCGAAGTTCGACACTCGATTCAGAATCATAAGACAGCGAAGCACACGTGTGTCCTTGTTTGCCCCATAAGGCTTCATCTCCCCAACTGTCAAAATTTTCCAAAAATTCGATGACTTACCATTTCGGACTTTATCAGATCATTGGTATTATTGATCTATAGTGATTGTTTTTATCGGTCACAAACAAGTAGCAAAATACTTTCCAATACAATTCCTTATTTATGATATTTTAGTTCGTTTTATTCGAACTCCATTTAATATCAAATGTTTTAGTTGGTGCTTGTTATATACTACTTAAGTTTATTGTGATGAAAGTAGTTTCCATTTTGATTGAACCAAAAGAAAATATATACTTTAAATTTAACAATTTTGTTTGGTTGGATTATACGATGATCAATGAAAGTACCTAGAGTCATAGCCGTCCTATGAAAGCTGGAGGAACCAGCATCGTCGTCCATTGATGACAGAATCACTCGCACGTGTGTGGCTACGTGTATTTCCAAAAAATACTCCTGAAAATCTAAATTTAATAAACGAAGCGTGCTTAGGGAATGGGATCGGTTCGGGGACTGGTCCCTCGTGTCTCCGCCATGTGACTAGCTGAGCTGGCACATGCGATTAACCGCTAAATCAAAAACGGCAATAATCATTTGCTTCATTAGATCCATAATCACTTGTTAATTAATCTATTGCTTAAAAGCTGTGCCACACGTGCAACCTCGTTCATGGATACTAAGACGATCTCTTTACTTTATTTTATGACTTCAATTTGATTTACATGTATTCCCTCTTTTTATTAATTAATACTTCAATTATTGAGTGTTAGCATAATAAACATCTACTAGTTGTTTTTTTGTTGGGAGTATATATATATATATAGAAGGTGGTGCGACCAATTCAATAATCAGTCGAGATTTGCAATCAAATCTCGGACATAATGATCTATATATACAATTCTTATACAAGGAAGCTAAATGATTATTAATTTATGTGGCCAAGCTGTCTTTTGCTTAAAATGATGGAAGTTGTTCCCCACAAACTTATATACTAATTGCTCATATTACATAGATAAAATACACACATTCTGTACATATATATAAGAGTGTTTTGTATAAACCATTCTATGTGCAATCAAGACAAAAATATATAATATATGTAATCTATATCAATATAGTGTGTATAAAAAAGATTTGTTAGTGTTCAACTAAAATTGGACGGACAGAAACAAGGTGCGACCGGCACAATTATTCAACAAGAAAAGCATAACTAAATTTTCAAAACTTATGAAAGTGATTTCTTTTTAAAGTTTTTTTTTCCATTGAAATGAAAATGATTGAATTAATTAGGTTTCTGCAACATTTTGTCATTACTAAAAAAGTTTACAAATTTACTTAAAACGTAGAGGGTTGTATAAATGTGTTTACCAATGTAGTTGAATCTAATTGAATGTACCATACTGTGATAAAACGAGGAGCGGTCCAATGATGGAGACCATGTTTGTTGATGAAGCAAAAAAAGCTAAAGAGAAAACGTGTTTGGGCAATGTCTTCTGTGGACTGTGGCATTGGAATCATCAAAATTAGAAATATGGTCCACCTGCATTTATTATTAAATCTTCCATTAATTAAGGAATCACTGTCCTAAGATCTTTTTCGTTTTCTAAACATTTTTTGATTTGTAATCAGACGCATTATGTATTTCTGTCCAAACCTATTAAATCAGGTCCATTAATGAACAAACAAAACATATTGCAATGATATCAATCATAATATATCCACAAGAATATTCTGTGTCTATAGTTATAGTAACGTTCTATTTAAAACTACTCACCAGTCTCTATGTTTAGCTTTTTTGAATTTTCATTTTCGAAAGTTAGTTTATTAGGTTTACTATTTTTTTTTTTTTTAAGTAACACATCAAAATACTGACTTTTTTTGTTAAGTAACAAGTAAAAATATACATCTGAAAAAAAAAATATACATCTGTTTTTTTTTTGGACATGATATCAGCGGTGTTAGACTGATGATGAGTGTTCTTAGAACTTTTAAGTTTTAACTTATATTAATTACTGTAGGATCGTTTTTTTACTTAAAATATTACTTTGTATTGGAATTATTGTTATAAGAAAACTTTTTTCGGTATAATTTTAAATTTGTCTAAATGATAAACAATGTAAAACTAAGAAACCAGAATTTGTTACTTTGGAAATAGTAAAATGTTATAGTCAATGATTTTCAATAGCATTACATTTATATTTGCTAGAGAACCGAACCAAACCGTTTTCGGTTAATTTTAGTACAAATATTAAAAGCCAAAACAACCGATTCGTTCGGTTTACCCGAGTCCCAAGGTTAATCTCTTCATGGTTGTAACGCTTCTTATTTTTTTCTTCTACTTCTGAGACACTCTTGCGGTCTTTGGATATCCCTTCTCTTTCAGCGTTATCAGCCAAAGCACATAAAGGCGACCACATATTTTCCACAGATTTGTAATCAGACGCATTATGTATTTCTGTCCAAACCTATTAAATCAGGTCCATTAATGAACAAACAAAACATATTGCTATGGTATCAATCATAATATATCGACAGAATTATACAAGAATATTTTGTGCCTATAGTTATAGTAAAGTTCTATTTAAAACTACACACCAGTCTGTATGTTTAGCTCTTTTAAATTTTCATTTTCGAAAGTTGTTTTATTAGGTTTTCTATTTTTTTTTTTAAGTAACACGTCAAAATACTGACCTTTTTTTTTTAAGTAATAAGTAAAATTTTACATCTGTTTTTTTTGGACATGATATATATCAGCGTTAGAGTATTAATTACTGTAGGATGATGAGTGTTCTTAAAACTTTTTTGGAGTATTAATTACTGTAGGATCGCTTTTTTTTTTTTTTTTTTTCTTTACGTATGATTAAACCTCATAAATTGCTTTATATAGCACTTAGTTTTCTATAGTTATTTCTATTGTAAATTATTATCAATTGTTATCTTTATTTTTGTTGAAGTTACACGCAGAGCCGGCTCTAACATTTTGAAGGCCACAAGCTTAAAAGAAAAAGAGAGGCCTAATTCTTTCCAAAAAAGTTGTTAAAATATTTCTGCAACTGTGAGAATCGAACACTCAACCTCACACTTCCCCCGGCTAGCATTTAACCAGTAGAGCTATAAGAGAATTTTGGGAAAAAGAGGGCCGATATATTAATAACTACATCTGGGGCCACAAGCACATGCTTCCCTAGCTTGTGGCTAGGGCCGGCTCTGGTTACACGTCAAACTATAATAGTATGTAATTAATTGAAAATACTATCAACGGTGTTTCAGCTAAAATGGGAACAGCTCTCATTCGATTGTTTCAGCTAAAATGATAACAACGTGGACTTGGACTAGTATCTAAGTTTTATGGGCCTGAAGCCTAGTATATCAAAACCCGGGCCCAACGTCAAGAAATAAAACTACAACGACGTCGTACCGACATAGTCTGACAAGTGCATTTGCTTAAAAAGAAAACAAGCGAGATGAGAGAAATCCATATGAAGTTTAATAAGGATAAGAAGAAATAATGGGAACAGCTCTGAAACTTCCAATCATCGATCTTTCTTCACCGGAGAAGCTCTCTACTTCCCGATTGATTCGTCAGGTTCTTCTTCTTCTTCTTCTTGGACAAGTCTTTCTTTCATGGAAACAAAACGACGACATTGATTGTATTATTTTTTATGTTACTGTACAAATGTCGGCTTCCAATGATAGAGTCTTAGAGTAATATTTTGGTGATTATTTTCAATTTCTTAGGCTTGCTTGGATCATGGATTCTTCTATCTAACGAATCATGGCGTTCCGGAAGAGATGATGGAAGGAGTGTTGATGGAGAGCAAGAAACTATTCTCTCTTCCTCTTGATGAGAAGATGGTGATGGCTCGTCGTGGTTCTCGTGGATACTCACCGTTATACGACGAGAAACACGAATCCTCTGCCACCTCCAAAGGTTCTTAGTTATATACTCCCTCTGTTTTTTAAAAGTTGTCGTTTTAACTGTATTTAGACAAATTAAGAAAAAGTATACAATGACTATATTAACCTCATAAAAATGACAAGTAATTATTTACAAATAATCTGTGTTTAATTAAATGAGGGTAATTTGGGTAGTTATTGGCATAAGTTACATTATTACCTTAAAACGACAACTAATTTAAAACAAAAAAATGCTCTAAAACGACAACTATTCGAAAACGGAGGGAGTATTATAGGCCATGAAAATTAATTGCTTGATTTTTCCAACGACCAAGATTCATTTTATAAAAATTTCTATCATTTTGGTTAGTAGAAAGGAAAATTGTGTAATTAAATGAAGTGTTTCTTATAAAAGGTGATTCCAAGGAGATGTTCACTTTTGGATCTTCAGAAGGAGTTTTGGGACAACTTTACCCTAATGAGTGGCCTCTTGAAGGTAAAGATATAATAGACTCATGATAACTTTAATAAATGGTGACAGTGTGGGATTACAATTTACAAAGAAAGTGAGGAATTTGATAGTGGAGCTCGTGTTACTCTTGAGACATATTATAAGATATATTTTTTTTAATACGAAACGGGAAACCAACCCGGATTTTCCGGATCGTCGATTCAACATTCAGTATCATAAGTTAGTGGGAAACCAGCTATATCATGGATTTTAACGAGTAAAAAAAATTATAATAGAGTTTTTAAGATTTAAACAGAAAATGTATACTAGAGTTTAGGTCGTTAGTTTACATGTCTAAACCGGATGGATTGGTCCGAGTTTTCAGGGATAATAATAACCCACAATAAAACCAATTTAGCAAGAAGTATAATAAAGTCTTTGTGTTGTACTTGCTTCTATCAAATACTAATTCTTTCTTCTGTTTATGTTGATCATCTATCTTATGGTTGTGGATGTTTGTAGAGCTTTTGCCGCTTTGGAGGCAAACCATGGAATGCTACTATAAAACTGTCATGTAAGTAGAAGGAAACTTGCTCTGCATCTGCTTACCTTTGAAACTAGGCTCAAGTTTGGAACCGCGTGGTTAAAACAAATGGCTAAGCAAAAAAAAAAAACTTGTAAAACCAATGATGCCATTGTTGTTTCCTTCTCGTATATTGGATCGTTTTTGGTTGGTGCTTATTGGTATTTGTTGCTTCTTAGGGATATTGTTGGTAAGAAATTGCTTGGCCTAGTGGCTTTGGCATTGAATTTGGAGGAAAACTTCTTTGAAAAAGTAGGAGCCTTCAATGACCAAGCAGCAGTTGTTCGTCTCTTACGTTATCCAGGTCTTTAATACACCAAAAACTTATAGCATTTTGGGGATTGATATATTAGAGACATATTAGAAGCTGGTCTTAAAGAATCCACTGCTAGTTTCTTTACTTTACTCTTAGATTCCCTCTTTGTCACATTATTATAGGAGAGTTGAATTCATCTGGAGAAGAAACATGTGGTGCCTCTGCTCATTCAGATTTTGGAATGATAACTCTTCTTGCAACTGATGGAGTTGCAGGGCTTCAAGTATTCATCTCATAATCTTTTTAAAACTGTGAATTTCTTCTTTTGTATTCTTCTACTTCTTATAACAATGTTTACATAATAAAAGGTTTGTAGGAATAAAGATAAAGAACCAAAAGTTTGGGAAGATGTCGCTGGTATTAAAGGGTAAGTTTATATAAAACCATAAACATATGCTTTTGATTGACACTATTTGCAGTTAAGGCCTAAAACTTATGAGAACTTTGTGTAAATCCACAGGACTTTTGTTGTCAACATTGGCGACCTTATGGAAAGATGGACTAATGGTCTTTTCCGGTACAAAAAAAATAAATCCATACTTTTTAGTTAATTTACAGTTTCATTTATAAGGTGATATTTTGATTTAAGAGTCCTTCTTGATTTTAAGATCAACAATGCATAGAGTGGTGTCAGTGGGAAAAGAACGTTATTCGGTACGGTACAATTTGTTTGAATTAGTCTCTGTTTCACTAATCATCATCATTTTCGTGACATAAACTTCTCGGTTTAATTACTTTGAAGGTTGCTGTATTTGTCGATCCAGACCCAAACTGTGTTGTAGAGTGCTTGGAGAGCTGTTGTAGTGAAACATCTCCTCCCAGGTAACAACTCTCGTTATTTTTGTTGTGTCATGTTATAAAATTTTGAGTTTGACTGTTTTCATTCATCATGTGTAATTTTGTGTAACTTAAAAGTTTTGGTCTTTTATGGGAAAACCAAAAAGGTTGATTTGTCAATTTGTTGTCTCATGTTATAAGCTTTTGAGTCTGACTGTTTCCATTCATCATGCTGGGGGTGACTTTGTGATAACTTTAAAGTTTTGGTATCTTATTGGAAAACCAAAAAATTTGATTTGATTTGCCAATTTGTTGCCTCAGGTTTCCACCGGTCCGGGCCAGAGACTATTTCCACGAGCGCTTCAGTCAAACCCTCGCCTCGTACTCCGGTTCCGACTGAGAAGCTAGCTCCAGATTTTCTTAAATAAGACATGTGTCAAATGTTTGAGTTTTCACTTTTGCTTGGACATGAAATAATACCAAAAGGTGATAAAACACTGAAAACTTGAAACCGTATCTTGTAAGGTGTATTTTCGATCAATAAATGTATTAATTGTAGACATGATTCCACATTAATTAAAAATAATTTGTTCATGACTTGTCTTGCTTTTCATAAGAATTCTTAGAGTGTGATGAAATGACACTGTCACTGTATAAACATTCCCCAGCTAATACTTGAGCCATTGATATGTTTTGAAACCAAAATTTCCCAACCTAGCAAAGGCAGACCAATTGTGCGTCACTTTACGATAGTAATAAGCCTGCTAAGTTTAGCAAACTGATACTTCATCTTCATGGCTTCATGCGATAAAGGAAGAAAAAAAAAATCTTCTTCCTTCGCTACTTCATCTTCTCGTCTTCTTCTCGATCTTTCTTTCCTCTCAATCTCATTGTTAAACTCAAGAATTTGTCTTCTTGTTCTTCGTCTTTCTTAAAGAGTTAAAGTTGATATCAATGTTAATGAAATGTCAATTAATAACTCACTGTGTAACCTATTTTGATATTATAAAGACTTTGCAGGTCCAAAAAGTTTACAAATATTTGCCAATGCATGTACACAACACATGAACCGAGTCAACGTACGCTACAAGAAAACAGCTGTATAACGACTACATTATTAGTCGTTATTTAGTCGCTAAACAGGCTGTTACGACTAAATAACGACTAATCCTTGTAGTCGTTAATTGATAGTCGCTAAATTATTTAGTCGTATAATTAGTCGCCATTTAGCGACTAAATTACGACTAATAATGTGTAATCGTGACATAGTCGTTAAATAGTCGTACAGAAACGTTGAATCATATACTAAATAGTCGTATAATTAGTCGTCATTCACCGATTAAGCCTATGAAATAAACGTTGAATCATGTAGTAAGTTATTAAGATTCCTTTCCCACAGAAACGTTGTGAATTTGCGAATTCTTGACAAGGCAAATTTCATCGCCAGTTATAATAGGAATGTTTGAGCAAATTGTTACAATGTTATATGGATTAATTTAGAACAAAGGCAAAAAAGATTTGGAACAAAGCAAAGCCCATTTAAAAATTCAGTCCATTGTATGTTAAATAAAAGTTTTTTTTGGTAGATTAAATAAAAGATTGTTTAACACGCAAAAGATTGACTTATTATTTATTGATTTAATCCTCACGAACCAACAATAAAACTAAATCACGTAAACCCTAAATCTTCTCCCAATCGTCAGAAATGTGCAAGACACAGATTCTTCAACAACACGCGAGACGGATTCTCGCTCAAAGTAACAGGAGTTGTTTGTTTCGCTCATACGGAACCGTATCGGCTGCGGCTCAAAATTTGCCGAGTCGGATCGTGACAGATTCAAATCAGAATGCACACATCACTCCGGTGTTAGAGTCATGGCAGAAACAAGTGCATCAAGTGAAGCCGTCTGACCTCAGAGGCCTCATCAAGAATCTCCGTGACTCCAATCAATTTTCTAAAGCTCTTGAGGTATTTTCCAATATCCATTGTAGTATTATAGACTACTTTAGTTAATTTTGGTATAAAAATGTGACATATATTTTTAAGAGTCTCGTATCGTAAGGAGATTTCGAAATGATATTTTGTAATGTATTATTAGGCATCGAAGTGGATGGGTGAACAAAAGGTTTTTGATATTGTTCCAGAAGATTATTCAGCTCGGCTTCATCTTGTTGAGAATCTTCTTGGCTTGGAAGAAGCCGAGAAGTTCTTCAAAAGCATTCCCAAGAACATGAGGGATTATTCTGTCTACGCCACTCTCTTGAGCTCTTACACGAAATCTGAGGATAGATTAGATAAAGCTGAGGCCACGTTTGAGAAGATGAGAGAGCTTGGATTCCTCTTGAAACCTTCACCCTTCAACTCGATGATTTCTCTCTACGGTCAGCTCCAAAAACTAGATATGGTCGAGAAGCTTGTACGTGAGATGCAAGAAACCAAGGTGGAGTGTGACAGTCCCACGGTGAACAATATATTGAGGGTATACGCGGATACATGCAAGATAAAAGCGATGGAGACGTTTAAAACGTTTGTTGATGAGCAAGGAATCAAACTAGAGGGAGGTACCATCGTTGCAATGGCAAAGGCTTACCTTAGATCTGGTTCGATAGAAAAGGCGATAGAGATGTATGGTAACGTGGAAGGGAGTGAAAAAGAAGTGTACCGTCTTTGGGATGAGTACAAGAAGGAAACAAAGGTTAATGATAATGGATATCGAACAGTTCTTAGCTCTTTGTTAAAGCTGGACGATATACAAGGAGCAGAGAAGGTATATGAAGAGTGGAAACCGGAAGGACCGAAGCTGGATATGAGCATACCGAGTTTACTGCTTTCCCGGTATTACGCTGAAGGCATGGAAATGAAGATTGACCAAATGGTAAAGTCTATTAGAAAGAAGAGGTATGAGATGCATTTCAAGAAGATAAAAGAACGTTTGATCCTCCGGAGGGTGATTGTTGGCATGGGATTGAAGGTTGAGCAAATGGCAAAGTCAATTAGACAAAAGAAGTTTAAAGAACCTTTGATCTTACTGGAGGCGAGGGAAGCGAAGGTTAAGGAGATGGTAACGTTCATTAAGAAGAAGAGGTTTGGGATGCATTTTCACAAGTTAAAAGAATCTTTGATCAAACTTGGGCAGATAACGTTGGTGGGGTTGATTGTTGCAATTTTGGTCGTCATTGTTGGTGCTATAGTAGCTTGGAATGAGTGGCTCATTCAACAACATCCCCCCACATCATATTGGAAGGTGCGGATCTTAAAGGACCATCCTATGTTATATTATTTTTTGTTCGTTCGTAAATAGGTTTGAGTTTTCACTTTTCACCAAACTTTTTCTTTTACATTTTAGTTTTTCTTTAGGTTTTAGGATAATGGTTTATGATTCTACAAAGTTTTAGTTTATCTAATTTTCTTTTATGTAGCAAAAGAGAATACAGATACAAAGATATATGCGAGTTAGTATTTTTCTGTTGTTATTAGTAAGGTTTAAAAATATACTCACTTTGTTTCTTTTTTATTGATGTTTAATGTTTTGACACACCAATTAAGAAACTATTTAAATAACCTTTTTACTTGTCTTTTTATATTAATTACAATATTATTTACTTACTAAAGAAAATTATTCAACCAATAATATTAAATGCATAAATTAATAAGAATATCACTTGGAAAAAGGAAGGACTAGTTATTAATTTGCTATCAAATTTAGGTGAATTGACATCTCTTATCTCTACATAAAGTCATAAACCCTCCAATATTATGAATTTATGATGATATATTCAGCTTATGGCCAATGTGGGCTTAATCTGTGATATGAGATACAATGAGCCCATTAGAGCCCACTTCTACATTATCAAAATTTTTAATTACCATCTGTTAATTACCATTTCATAATTGCAAGCACCGTCGTATGGTCCCTATGAGTCAAAACGATCAGAGCAAATTTATTTTCGAAACAGAGAGACTATTAGGAGAAGCGAAATGGGAACGACGCTTCTACTTCCGATCATCGACCTTTCTTCGCCGGAAAAAATCTCCACTGCTCAATTGATTCGTCAGGTTCTTCTTCACCTCTCTGTTACTTATTTGTATCATGCTTCTCTGATGATAGGTCTCGTACCTGTAGCATCAATTGACGAAGATTGTTTTATCTTTTTGTTTAATCGCTCTCTAATTGGCGTTTTACGATCTTGTTGAGTATATGAATTTTGGTCTGCGTTATTGATTTGAAGGAGGTCTTTGTGTATACTAATTTAGTTTGAGACATACATGTCTCTATGATTGCTGATGAAATGTTTGTTTTGTTATTTTTATAAGGCATGTCTTGAACATGGATTCTTCTATGTCAAGAATCATGGAATCTCTGAAGAATTAGTGGAAAGGGTTTTCAAGGAGAGCAAAGGCTTCTTTAATCTCCCACTAGAGGAAAAGATGGCTTTACTCCGCCGTGATTTGCTCGGTTATACTCCATTGTATGCTGAGAAACTTGACCCGTCCTTGAGCTCAATAGGTTAGCATTTTTGCACATGTGGCTTGTTTTCTTGCTGAGTTAGTGTAAAAAGTTGATCTTTCCTTGTTAGGTGATTCCAAGGAAAGTTTCTATTTTGGTTCTTTGGAAGGTGTTCTCGCTCAACGTTACCCTAATCAATGGCCTTCTGAAGGTAATTTCTTTCTACCTGTTTCCGTTATCGGTTTTGATCTCAACCTTTTTGTCTCTATCTCTCAAGGGTTATGTGTATGTTAAAGGTATCTTGCCATCATGGAGGCAAACCATGGAATGTTACTACAAGAATGTCCTGTAAGCACCTGCTCTTTTGTCTTTCTTCTGCAAAGTAAATTTCAGACTAAAACTTCTAACCTGTCTTCTCTATATATCCTCAGTTGAAAATAGGTTTCAAGTTCATATCAACTGTTAGATTTGAACCTTGATGGTAGGGATAAAGATAGTCTATTGTAGCCAATTACATCGGTAGTACAAATGAACAATCTTAGGTGCCTGTGTGTTCTTGAAATAAGAAGAGTACGCTGTTTCATGAGTGTTTTCTATTTTTTTATCTCTCATATTACTTTCCTGGATTAACTTGCTAGTTGTGTGTTTGCATTGCCTGCTTTAAGGTCCGTGGGTAGAAAACTGCTCGGCTTGATTGCCTTGGCATTGGATCTAGAAGAGGACTTCTTCGAAAAAGTTGGGGCTTTGAATGATCCTACAGCAGTTGTTCGCCTCTTACGCTATCCAGGTGTCTCTATGTACATCAAATTCCGGTTGGATTGATATTAACCTTAATGAACTTTCGTCATAGTTAGATCTTAACATATGAAAGGAGGAATTTTAAGCCACATTCCAGGAGTTCGAGTCAGGTTGTGATCTCTGCACCTGTTATGGTTATAGGTGAAGTGATTTCGTCAGATGTTGAAACATATGGTGCCTCAGCTCACTCAGATTATGGAATGGTCACTCTTCTTTTGACTGATGGAGTTCCAGGACTTCAGGTAACTATCTCTGAATTTCTCTTGTAGTTCTCGTCATACTCTTCCTTTAGTAACCTTATGTTCTTACACCGTCTGTGAACTGAACTCTTAGGTTTGTAGAGACAAATCGAAACACCCTCACATTTGGGAAGATGTCCCTGCAATTAAAGGGTAAATCTAGTTTTTTTTGGTTATTAGATTATATTAGAAATAATTGTTGAAATCCGGGGACTTTCTGTAACCGCAGGGCGTTTATCGTCAACATTGGTGATATGATGGAGAGATGGGCCAATGGATTGTTCCGGTAAACTTAAAAATCGATTTACTTAGGCGTGATTGTGTTTTCTGCGTTTCTTCACATTTCTTACTTTCTTGTGATGGGTTTAGGTCTACATTGCACAGAGTGATGCCGGTGGGAAAAGAACGTTACTCGGTAGCTTTGTCTTTTTCTTTCTTTCTAATTCCTATTCAAATTGCTAACGTTTTGGGTAAATTAAAGGAGAAGTTTTTGTAGGTGGTGTTCTTCTTAGATCCCAATCCAGATTGTAATGTGAAATGCTTGGAGAGTTGTTGCAGTGAAACGTGTCCCCCAAGGTATTTCTTCTTGAATCGTAAAACCAATTTTAGGGTGTGAGGAGGGGTTAGATTACACGTTTTTAAAATCTTTTGGTCTTGAAGTGTAATAGAATAAAAGTTGAGTTGAGTCCTTTTCTCATAAAGATTTATTTCCATCGGTGCAGATTCCCGCCTATCCTCGCCGGCGACTATATTAAGGAGCGTTTCAGGCTAACATACGCCACTTCGTGATCGTAGTCTATGTTTATTACTCTCTCCGTTTTCGAATAGTTGTCGTTTTAACTATATGCACACAAATTAAGAAACTATTAATGTTGTTAGTTTTTCAATATAAAAATATCATTAATTATCTACCTAAACATAATTTAACCAATAGTAAATCAAGTTGCATAATAAAAGTAAATATAAAAAATAAAAAAGTAATAAATTTTGCATCGAAAACTGAAAACGACATCTTATTAAAAACAAAAAAATTTCTCTAAAACGACAACTATTCGAAAACGGATGTTTTTGTTACGAAATGTAAGAAAAAATAATGTTCAAAGCTCAAACTTCAACGTTCTATAATGTTTAATTAGTGAATGTCAAAGAACTTATGGAACTTGAAAATGATTAGTCAAAAGTCTCAAAGATAGACACGCTTAAAACCCGTGGAACTTGAATGGGAGATTACGTGTTTGGACCAAACTTGTACACGTGGCGAGTTTTTTTGTGGTGTATAGCGAGATTAATGTTTTAATTCAAAAGACAACATTTTACGAGTATAATACTATAGTATACAAGTCTAATTACTTAATTATACTTTGATGGAAATACAAATCTTAATCAAATTTTACCACAGTTGACAAGCAAATGCGTTTGACGGAGACAAAAAACAAAAGGCTTAATATTTATGGAAAATTCATTTTGTTTATACATTTTTTTCTAAGTTTTTTTTTTTTCGAAATGTGCATAACGCAACTCTACATGCAAGTTTGCAACAATATACTATTTTAAACATAAGAAAACAAAACATTATCTTATCTTCAATATAATTGTTTTATCTTCTTTTTATCAACATGTCCTTCAGATGCATCATGCATGCATTCATTAATTCATTTTTTTTTCATACAGCCGAATTAATTTTATTTTCTTCAATCTAAGAAAAATTTATTTTAGTACACAAATTACAAATACAACATACTTTTTAGTCAAATATCTTTTCTTACCACATAAAATTTTCTATACATTGATATTCCTTTTTTGTTAGTCAAATATTTGTGTATATTTATTCCATATGAGGGAAAATTATTTTATATATTCCATACTTGCAAGGTTTTTTTTGCCAATAGCGTAATTTTTATTCATCATTCGTTGAATAAAATTACGTATATTTGGAATATAATCCAATATTAACTATTTATCCATTTTCCACGTGGGTTTATCTATGTCGGAAGACTGAATCTGACAATGAGATAAACCCAAATTATTTCAATTATAGAAAGACAAAAAAGAGAGTCTATTTTAAATCAATTTGTATTTCTCTTCTTTTTATCTCCGAAATAAAAGCTTAATTTTTCTCCCAACTACTCTGCAATTAAATCGGTAGAGTGAGACATTGGCCATCGTTTTCTCGCTCTGTATTTTCTGGGCTTGTTTTTTTTTTTCCCGAGATAGAAAAAATCATCTCTGAGAGTTTTCTCGAGAAAGTTTTTGAGTGTTTAGAGCTACTGGATTTTGAATTTACGAATCAATGGAAGGAATTGATCACCTTGCCGATGAGAGAAACAAGGCCGAGTTCGACGTCGAGGAGATGAAGATCGTCTGGGCTGGTTCCCGCCACGCTTTTGAGGTTTCCGATCGAATTGCCCGTCTTGTCGCCAGCGATCCGGTGAATTTCTTCTCAATTCTCGTTGATTTTTGTTCTGATTTTCGTTTGGATTCCGGGAAATGTTTATGCGGCGAGGGAATATGATTAGGTCTGTGTTAGATTTGTGAATTTCGTTATCTTCTTTGTATAGGTATTTGAGAAAAGCAATAGAGCTCGGTTGAGTAGGAAGGAGCTGTTTAAGAGCACGTTGAGAAAATGTGCTCATGCGTTTAAGAGGATTATCGAGCTTCGTCTCAATGGTATGGATTGTTCTCACGCACCTATTGTTATCTTGGTTTCAAGGTTTTTTGTATTGTGAACTTTGTTCCTGTGCTCTTGCTGGTTACAGAGGAAGAAGCAGGAAAATTGAGGCACTTTATCGATCAGCCCGCCTATGTGGATCTGCACTGGGTACGTCTTGCGCCTCATTTATCTTCTAGAGACAGGATTTTGATAGTTTGATTCATGTTTTTTGTATCTCTTTTCTATAGGGAATGTTTGTGCCTGCTATTAAGGGGCAGGGCACAGAGGAGCAGCAGAAGAAGTGGTTGTCGCTTGCGAGTAAGATGCAGATTATTGGGTGTTATGCACAGACTGAGCTTGGTCATGGCTCAAATGTTCAAGGACTTGAGACAACTGCCACATTTGATCCCAAGACTGATGAGTTTGTAATTCATACTCCAACTCAGACTGCATCCAAAGTGAGTAGACCGAAAAGGCTTTGGTTGAGTATTATGCACAGTCTCTCTTAGTTGTTTAAGATTTTCATCTGTCTTGATTGTTGAATAGTGGTGGCCTGGTGGTTTGGGAAAAGTTTCTACCCATGCTGTTGTTTACGCTCGTCTCATAACTAATGGAAAAGACTATGGTATCCATGGTATGTACCGGGAAAAGTTTCCAGTATTTTTTTTTGTTCAATTTTTCTTGCTTGGGTATTGGTTTCTTAAACTTTCTCTTCCAGGATTCATCGTGCAACTGCGCAGCTTAGAAGACCATTCTCCTCTTCCGAATATAACTGTTGGTGATATCGGGACAAAGATGGGAAATGGAGCATATAATTCAATGGACAACGGGTTTCTTATGTTTGATCATGTTCGTATTCCTAGAGATCAAATGCTCATGAGGTCCTCTCTCTTTGCCTTTCTGGTCTGAATTTAATAAACATTCACGATGTAATGATAGTTCTAGAGGAAATTGCTTGTGCTCAAATGCGGGCTTATGGTTCCATATTTCTCCTCTTTCAAAACGTTTCAGGCTGTCAAAAGTTACAAGGGAAGGAAAATATGTTCCATCGGATGTTCCAAAGCAGCTGGTATATGGTACTATGGTGTATGTGAGACAAGCAATTGTAGCAGATGCTTCCATTGCACTATCTCGAGCAGTTTGCATAGCTACAAGGTACAGCGCAGTGCGGAGGCAGTTTGGCGCACATAATGGTGGCATTGAGACACAGGTACTTATTCAAACCCATTTCATATACATGGTTGTTTACACCTATTGATGTTGGATCATAACAAACTTCAAAGTATATTTTACCTTGAAAAACTTTCCTTGTATATTTTGCGGTTTTAGCCAAATTTGTCTGTAAGTTACTGCTGAACTGTTTTTCTTCGACTTGGCTTTTTATAGTTTTTTTTTAAACTCTCATTAACGTCTGCTTACTATTATGTTGGCTAGAAAAGGGAATGTAATATATTTCTGCATGTTGTTATCACAGGTGATTGATTATAAAACTCAGCAGAACCGGCTATTTCCTCTGCTAGCATCTGCATATGCATTTCGATTTGTTGGAGAGTGGCTAAAATGGCTGTACACGGATGTAACTGAAAGACTGGCGGCTAGTGATTTTGCAACTTTGCCTGAGGCTCATGCATGCACTGCAGGGTTGAAGTCTCTCACCACCACAGCCACTGCGGTAAGTTCCAGACCTGATTCTTTATACTCACTAGACTAGACTGATTGGTTTCGTCTCTCTGAGGGTCCAACCGCTCACATGTTGGAAAGTTTGTTCCCTCCTTGACATTGTTTTGGAGGTGTATTTAGAATTGAAAGTCAGCTTAAGGGTACTATTGGGTGCAGGATGCCATTGAAGAATGTCGTAAGTTATGTGGTGGACACGGCTACTTGTGGTGCAGTGGGCTCCCCGAGCTGTTTGCTGTATATGTTCCTGCCTGCACATACGAAGGAGACAATGTTGTGCTGCAATTACAGGTATTTATCATCAACTGCGAGCTATTCTCACTTACTAGAATAATTCTGTCAGCTCAAATAGATTTCTTAGCATGTGGCTCGTTATCTTATGTCTCTCTGGACTTTTAGCCGTGAGTTCTTGATTTGATATTGTTTCGTATTTTGAATTTTTACTTTCTTAGATATGGTTATTTGCAGGTTTTTGTCAATTTCTCCTGTTACATATTTTTTGGCTTTTGTCACGTGCAATTTGATTTTTTTTTTCTGATTGATATGCAAACACACATTTGACTGCTTTTATAGTTTTGGTTCATTTTGTTGTTTCGCCAGTGTTTCTAACAATAACAATAAGAATAACCATTCACGCTATTGTTCAAACTTGTGTTGATAGGTTGCACGATTCCTCATGAAGACAGTCGCCCAGCTGGGATCTGGAAAGGTACCTGTTGGCACAACTGCTTATATGGGCCGGGCAGCACATCTTTTGCAATGTCGCTCTGGTGTTCAAAAGGGTGAGTTTTCAAGTTTATATATTTTTTTCTTCTTCCTGCTACAATAACAAACTAATGATCTTTTCTCAATATAATTCCTGAGTTAATGATGAAGTTGGTTTTATTTATGTAGCTGAGGATTGGTTAAACCCTGATGCGGTACTGGAAGCTTTTGAAGCAAGGGCTCTGAGAATGGCTGTTACTTGTGCCAAAAATCTCAGCAAGTTTGAGAATCAGGAACAAGGTACGCTTCTAACCCCATGAATCCAGAACAATTGATTGCCATGTCAGCTCATAAGCCAAACGACACACAAATTCTTCCTGTCTGCAGGATTCCAAGAGCTCTTGGCTGATTTGGTTGAGGCCGCTATTGCTCATTGCCAATTGATTGTTGTTTCCAAGTAATTTTCTTCTTCACCATTTACACTTATCAAACAAGTTAATGATTCTCTTAATGTCAGCTCCTGAATTTTGCCAACTTTGTTTCGGGTAGGTTCATAGCGAAACTAGAGCAGGACATAGGAGGCAAAGGAGTGAAGAAACAGCTGAATAATCTGTGTTACATTTACGCGCTTTATCTCCTTCACAAACATCTCGGTGATTTCCTCTCCACTAACTCCATCACTCCCAAACAAGCCTCTCTTGCTAACGACCAGCTCCGTTCCTTATACTCTCAGGTTCTTCCTCTCTCTTTTTCTCTCTGCATTTGATTCCTTTTTAAGCTAAGTGTTAACACTTTTTGTTGCTTCGTTTAGGTCCGTCCTAATGCGGTTGCACTTGTGGACGCCTTCAATTACACAGACCATTACTTGAACTCGGTGCTGGGCCGTTATGACGGTAATGTGTACCCAAAGCTCTTTGAGGAAGCGTGGAAGGATCCATTGAACGACTCGGTGGTTCCTGATGGGTACCATGAATACCTTCGACCTGTGCTTAAGCAGCAACTTCGTACCGCTAGGCTCTGAAGAGTTTTCTTTGCTTGATACTCAGATATGGTTAAATCACATTGACTTGCTTCTTCTTTCTTTTTCTTCTTCTTCTCGCTTTGAATAAATTCGCGGTTTAAAAACTGGCGATGCCCTTATCTATAATTCTATATGTAGCAATGTAATAGTTAATGTACGGTCTTGTGGCGGAGTGTTAGTACTATTTTTCGTATTCAATGCAACATTAATAAATTGATCGTTTCTACTCTGAGAAGAATACATATTTGTAATTTTCGTATATAGTTCAATTTTAGGGATTTTTCTGGTTAGGTACTAAATATATCATAATGACATTTTCTCTTGATTGCTTCCGTAAAAATGATATTTGTAATAGGGTTACTTAGGCAAAGTTTTTATTTTAGAAATTATCATGTAACTCATTGTAGAAAATCATTTAGTCAACTCTTTATCTATTTATCATATATACGCTGAATATTTTAAATAACTATAACTTAATTGGGTTTTTTTTTTAAATGTAGTTAAGCTGTAATAAACAGTGGTTTGTAATTTTCTTCGGCAAAGTAATAAGCAATGGTTTGTTGGTTCTTTCATCTTTGATTGCTTTGGTGGTAGACAGTTAACCCACAATTTCAATGTAATGCGTCATAAGAAGAAGAAAAATTTGTTTGCAACATAAATATGAAAAAGAGGTTTGCTTAAAATGAAACATGCATATGAAGTTTCCAGGATTGTGCTTTGTTTCAAATAGCATCATTTTCCGACATAAGACTTCCAAACCTTTTTATTTATTAAGCATTTAATAACCGAATTTGGTAGGTAAATTAATATAGTGGTATTATCATTCATTTTCTAATGGTTAGTAGTTAAATTGTTTAGGGAATTAAGACATCGACCCGAATTAAATTTACTTTTTTGATATATTTTCGTCACCAAGCTAGCTAATCTGGCTTTCTACTTATTTATTCCCTTATTCAAACTTACGTACATACAGTTTTAACTTTTAAGAGTGTGTCTGTATCCATTAATCTATATATTATGAGATTTTATCTTAAATACAGTAAATATTATTGGTCCAAACATAAACAATTAATATCTGAATAGAAAACACTACAAACAATTTACAGTAATGATATTCTGGTTTTCTTAACAAAATTCACTCAAATTGTTTACTACTGAACAATCACCATATCTCTATATATAGTCTTTTCACTTTTATGTAAAACATTTTCTATTTTTTATTTTAACATACACATGTATTAATTATGTAACACAAGGTTGTTTATACTTTCTTAGTCTTAATCGTCAAATGGACCCCACGATAAACAAATACGTAACTTGCTCCCTCTAAATGATAATGTATACATTTTCAACATCATACTTTGTACATATACTGATATACACTACATGTGTTTACGTCGTTTTGCGTACGTGTGTCGTCCATAGCAACCTTCTACTCATTTTCTTTACTATAATGCTTAATCTTTAAATTCTATAATATATAAAAATAAACCTTCTACAATTATTTAGGTACGTATATTCGCAAATGTGCAAAACATAATCCGTCTATTAAGCAAACGTCCAAATACAAAATATTGACTGACCGTTGTTAAATACTATAGTGTCTCGTTTCTGAAAGTTATCGTTTCGTTTGTCCTAAAAGATGCTCCGGTCGGTGAATTAGAACTTCAAACTATAAATATATGTGTACTCTAACAAATAATCTTAAGCAATGAAATAAAGGTTGAGTATTTTATGATGACAACACATAATTCATTTGAAATATGTATTAATATTAATCTTGTCTTTGTCAAACTTAATCCAAGTGAAAAACGTGGGTTAGCTTTGTAGGCAGACATGGGTCATGGTCAGGAAACCGAAAATATAACATTTTGGGAAAAAAACAAAAGATGGAAATTAGAATAAAATTGTAAAAGTAAAATAAAAGTAGGTAAGGGCCCACAAGTTACAATTGAATATAGTTTTTTTCCTAATATCTACTGTTCTGTGAAAATGTCTACACACAGGAAAAACCAAATAGATCTGAAGTTATATCCACATGTAGAAAATGGTGGATCTACTCTAAAATAGATATTTCAAACTTCCATGAAATGATGGCCAAAGCATATGTCAGAACTTTAAAGAAATATCTATTATATTCTAAGGTGAAATATTCTTGTTCAGTAGTCTAGTTGTTCTAATTTTAGTTAGACCGTTAAAAGTTTTATTAATCCTATATTATATAAAAGTTGTTTCAAAACCAAACAGAACAATGAATTTAAATACAATTTAGGCCTGTTTCAAGTACATATATTTAAATTTGGAAGGCCTTAGACGATTTAAAAGAAACAAGAGACAACAGTACACTTAGAATGTTTAAAAAAAAAAAAAAAAATCAGTACCCTAGAATGTTACAAACGAACAAGTGTCCAATTCAGGTCTAAATGAATGAATACTATATTATTTTATACATGTATAAAGTAAAGTAAATATCATTGCAAGTAAAAACAAAAAGAAAAAAGGAAAAAATCATAATGTAGTCAAGTCTTTTTTAGCTTTTAATAGTTGATTTATACATAAAAGAAAAAACATACACACAAGAATAATTGCATCGTATTTGGATGTATATATTAGAAAGAAGCAAACCAATCTCTTCTCTTCAAAACTATTCATACTCTCACTCTCCAAAATACAAAAAAAAAAAAACATTTTTATTTTTTATCTTCCCACCAAAAATTCTCTCTCGTTACATTAAATTTCTTTAGATGCAAGACTCTTCTTCTCACGGATCACAACGTAACCTCCGGTCACCGATGCCGGAGAGAACCGGAAAGACTTCGAAGACTAAAATTGAGCAAAAAGGTGTTTCTAAGCAACCAAACTTTCGTGGGGTCAGAATGAGACAATGGGGAAAATGGGTGTCTGAAATTAGAGAACCAAGAAAGAAATCAAGAATCTGGCTCGGCACTTTCTCTACGCCGGAGATGGCGGCGCGTGCACACGACGTGGCGGCTTTAGCCATCAAGGGCGGCTCTGCTCACCTTAATTTCCCGGAGCTCGCTTACCATTTGCCGAGACCGGCAAGCGCCGACCCTAAAGATATTCAAGAAGCCGCTGCAGCAGCAGCTGCCGTTGACTGGAAAGCACCGGAGTCTCCGTCTAGCACCGTGACGTCATCTCCAGTCGCTGACGACGCTTTCTCCGATCTCCCTGATCTTTTGCTTGACGTGAATGATCACAACAAAAACGATGGATTCTGGGACTCGTTTCCGTACGAAGATCCTTTCTTCTTGGAAAATTATTAGAAGGCAAATTCTTGCCGGCGAATGAATTTTCCGGTGGTTTTCCCGGTAAATAAGAAGACGGTGTCGTTTTGTACCTCTTTTTTCTTTTTTGTCTCTGTTGGGAAATTTCTTTTTGTACGTGTGAGTAAAAAGTTTCCGAATGTGTGATGTGTAAGTAAGTACAGGTTATTTAATTTCTTTTTTTGTACAAATACCTACGTAATTACCAAAAAGTTTTCATTTATTGTGCTTTTATCTTCCAAATTCATTAAATTTGTGTCTTGACCCTTTATTTTCACATCTTTGAGTTCTGACAAAGACTTTAACTTTACTCCCATGGAGCCGGCAAAGAATATATACATTTAGCCATTTAGGGGTTTCTTCGCTTGAAAAAAAAAAAAAGACCCCTGCAAGAGAAAATAGATCATTAGAATCGACATGTAAATGTAAAGATCAGTATTTTCATGGTTAACATAGGAATGACTTATGACCTTGTATAGTTATTCTTTATGTAATCGATCTCAAAATCACGACTCCCCATTTACTTCTCATTATTTGCAGGTAAGAAAAGTATAGCATGGATATATATATATATATATATATATATATATATATATATATATTTTTTGTTGTATGGTCTATTACTTCTTTTATTGTGACATTTATAATGATAGTCAATATAAAGATATTAAATATCTATAAAAGAAATCAGAAACCGAACTATATCCACCATATAGTATGTAGTTCGGTTTCTGAATGGGATAGTTTTGTATATTGAGAAGCATAGTTAAGAATGGGATTAACAATCCCATTAAGCTCGGCCGCATTCTATTTTACCTAACGAGAAGCATAGTTTAGAATGGGATTGTTTTGTATATCGAGAAATCTAGCAGCCAAAGTCACAGTAGGTAGAATACAAAGAGAAAATGGCAAATTAGTAGAAGAGACAAACTTGATGGTCTTTTCTGTCATTTTCCATTTTCCACTTTTATTTTCTCCTTTTTGCGTATCATCTTATTGGCCCTTATAAAGTTGAAAAATTAAAGTACCTATTGGCCCATTTATTAATTAAATGTATGGTGTATTTAATGTATGTTTAGTTAGTACTGATTTTCATTCTTCTGTAGTTCTGTGCAATTAGTGTCCTTACTTTTTTTCTAATCAATCTTAGTATTATTAGTTTATTACTATTATATTGCTTTTACCAAAATCTAGATAGAGGGTTCTTTTATAATTCTTTGAAATCAGTACTCTAAAAAATTTATTCTCTCTGTCTTACACTTTTCTTTTAAGGTTCACATCAAACTTTTCGTTATTATTTCTACAAAATTGAATTTTAATTATTAATTTGTACATATTTATCTCGTATATTTTAGTATTTATTTATATCTTATATATATTATATGTAGCATAACTGTTGAAACTATTGAATGAATTATGAAACATTTTAGAATCATCTTTTGATGGAATGCATGTTAAAAGAAAAATAAAAACTAAGTATGCATAATCTTTTTTTATTTTTATAACCTGCAGGGTAGATTTCAGATCGAAACCCAAACTAAGCAATAGTATAAAAAAACTGAAATGTCTTATTATTTAAGCAGATGCAAATTTTTTAAAGAAATAAAAATGCACTTTTTGGCTTACTAAAGAAATATATTGAGTGTTGACTAAAAAACCCATATATATTCCTTTGTGTTTATAATACTTGTAAGAACAGATTATATTATTGTGTAAGAAACTTTTTTTTTTTTTTTGTTAATGGCATAACATATTGTGTAAGATGTAGTAAAGTCTGAATGATGCCAATCTTTGATTCCACCGAAAAATTACGAAAAACTAATTAAAGAAACTTTTAAAAGCCCATATGGTTAATGAAACAGAGGAATGTTTGTGTAAAAAACTTTGTTTACGTGCATTTGCACTTGCCAATTTTCCAGATTATCACTGTTCTCATCATGTTTTTAATATTCAGTTTACAAAATAAATTAGAAGGTGAGCTGGCTTTTCTCGTATCCTCTTTGTCTGTTTGTAATCATATTTTGAACACAAACATTTTTTTGGCTACGCGTCACATGATTCGATTATTAACCTCGTCAAAACTAAACAATTAAAAACGTTTTCACTCATTGTAGAGAAAGTGGTAAAAACGTTTCCATTCTTTGGCTACTGATATAGTGATATTGCTTAAGCGCTAATAATGTTAAAAAATTTGTATTAGAAGTCGGTAAGTCATCCCAACTATAAAATTTGTTGCTTTTTAACAAATTAAATAAAATAAAACTAATAAACTAAATTAGTTATAAAACCTAAAATTCACTCCATTTTAGTATGTGAGATTTATTTAGAAAATTTATAGTTTTATTTTCGAAAATTGTAGCATGATCCGACGAATCAACAAGTATAAATAAATTAGAATTGTATATATATATTTTTAGTAATATATTCCTAATAAATGAGTGTTATTTATTTTGTAAACTGTTATATACTATAAATTTTAATTCAAACATTTCATTCAAAGCAAAAGATGACTAAGACACTTTGTGTCGCAAATTCGAACACGCCTACTATGGGTTTTGTACGGACGCTTGATGTAGATCCTGTTGTATATTTAGCAGCAAATATCGAAACACCATCCTTCCTAACAATATTTGATAAATAGTATTTTAGATAATTAGTTTTATAAAATATCCTTTATGTGGGATGCCTGTGAACCATGTATTGCATTAAGCCAAATCAACATCATTATTAAATAATAGCAACAGTTTTGAGTACGATTGAGCTTTGATGCTGCATGCCTGCATTCCATATGTAATATATATATATATATATATATATATATATATATGGATGTCATGTCATTAAGGATTTTCAATTTTTTATTTAATTGATTTGATTAAATACCAAAGTGTCATCATTAATATATTGCGTCTAGAAACTAATCTCATGTTCATGTCGGCTGTGGAGTTTTTTAAGTCTGACCTAAGTGGCTAATTACGAATAAAAAATTAATTAAATATTATTTACTTTTCTCTAATAATAGTTGATGTTTATAAATTCTTTTTAGGACGAATCTTGCAAGAGCTCATATCTATCTTTTGGAGTGGGAAGAATATGTTCGCAGGATGGAGAAAGACTCATTCTTGTGGATGCAAGAAATCTGAAGGGAGCCTTTCATAAACTATAGGCCCTAATCTAGGATATGTCATGTATTGGATCATACAGGATTGTGATTGACTGTCCAACATTTGAGATGGGTACTGCTTAGAACTGCTATCGATGGCACAATGTCCGTACTCCGTCGGATTGTACAACAAGTTCCAATATTTTGGATACTTTTTTCTTGGTTAAAAAATCGGTTTATATATTCTTTTTCGTACATTAAATTCTCAAACGGACCGTTTAATTCGTAATGCCAAAGACATGATTGTTTTTAAGCTTTATGTAAACTATTTTATACCAATTTAGACAGCTAAACCAAATAGTTTATTTATGTTGTGCTGTTGAAAACAAAACTTATTTAAAATAATATTTATTTCTTTTGTAAAGATTAGACTTAACATCGATTTGTCCGGAAAAAAAAAAGACTTAATATCGAATGAATTATGTTTCACTACATGTGTAGTAGCATATCCTTGTTTAGTCACGGAAAAGATATAAGTGTTATACGTATAGAATTGTAGAATTGGATGATTGTATTAGAACATAGGTTACAAGTATATATACACAGAGACTGAAAGGAGTAGCCTTAATTGACATAAATACAAAATATATGATTGACATAATTAGCTCCACAATTATCTCCTTAATACGCCCCCTCAAGATGGAGGGGCTTTGGCAACTCCAATCTTGCTTGTGAGTTGTTGAAACGTTGATCGTGGGAGTGGTTTAGTGAGAGTATCAGCTAACTGATCATGCGTGGAGATGTGAGCGACACGGAGGGAACCAGACTGAACTTGATTGCGAACAAAGTGATAGTCCAAGGTAATGTGCTTCATCCTTGAGTGAAAAACCGGATTAGCACACAAATACGTTGCACCCACATTATCACAATATATTACCGGAGCGTTCGTGATAGAGACACCAAGCTCACTTAGTAGAGAGCATATCCAAGCAACTTCGGATGATGTATTGGCAACAGCTCGATATTCAGCCTCCGTTGAGGATCGTGCGACGCCTTTTTGCTTTTTGGATGACCAAGCTATCGGGTGAGAACCGAGGTAAACAATGTAGCCATTCGTAGATACGTAATCGTCGTTATCACCAGCCCAATAAGAGTCGGAAAAGGCATGTAAAGTTGGTGTGTTGCGACGACCAAGAAAAATACCGTGTGATGGTGTACCCGCAAGGTAGCGAAGAACCCGTTTGACCGCTTGCCAATGTGCATCAGTTGGTGAGTGCATGAACTGTGACAAACGATTCGTAGCATACGAGATATCGGGCCGAGTAAATGCTAGATATTGAAGGCTACCAACAACGCACCTATACTCCGTAGCATCGGTTAGAGGCGTACCAGAATGAAGAGTGAGTTTAGGTGACGATGCCATGGGTGTGGAAACTGTCTTTGCAGAGAGCATATTCATCCTTTCCAGAAGATCTAGAATGTACCTACGCTGTGTCAAATATAGGCCAGAAGATGTCCGCTTTGCTTCAATTCCCAAAAAATAAGACAGCTCCTCATGTTCTTTAACTGAAAATCGGTTGGCGAGTACGTCTAATGTTTGTTTCATCAAGTCATTGTCATTTCCAGTGACAAGAATATCATCTACATAGATCAACATGTAGAGAAACGACTTCCCGCGCTTTAAGATGAAGAGAGAAGTGTCCGCAACAGAATTTTGAAAACCAACCGAGAGGAGAAAGTTGCGGAGCTCAAGGTACCAAGCGCGAGGTGCTTGTTTGAGACCATACAATGCCTTTTTAAGATGGCATACATAGTCTGGGCGATCCGAATCAATGAATCCCGGAGGTTGAACCATGTAGACATCTTCTTTTAGAGTGCCTTGTAGGAATGCGTTGTTGACGTCTAGCTATCGTATAGGCCAGTCTTTGTCAACTCCTATCCCGAGAACAAGACGAATTGTCGTTGATTTGATGACAGGGCTGAAAGTCTCAGAATAATCGAGTCCAGGTTGTTGATTATAACCTTTTGCGACTAGACGAA